GAATACCAAGTGTTTAATTATAGGTTAAAATTTTGAGAAGGAAAGATAAATATGACTAAGAATATAAACTGTAGAGTTGAACATTTTTGTTTCTGTCTTTGTCCCAGGAGCATGTGGAAACCGCTGGAGAATTGGGTTTAGAATCTTGATTTCTTTAATTGTGTTATCTATATTTAGATATCTGATATTTTTAGCTTGATATGTAATGGGATATCAGAGAAACAACAAAATAAAGAAAGTAATTGGAGTTTGGGAAAAATCAGTTCACCCTTTTAAATCCCTTTCCTGATTTATAAATTTTAAAAAGTGCAATACCCACTTGCAGGTGGCAAGATTAGGCAGATGATGGACGAAAGTGATTTGTGAGCTGTCAGGTGCTGTGTAACCATCAGGACTGTTGATAGAGTCATTTATGTGACCTGTCCCCCATGTATGTTTTCTGATGTTATAGCCCAATAAAAATGACTATGAATATAATAGAATGTGTCTTGTGCTTTTTTAAAATACATTTTCTTGAACAGCAGTTAAATGGCATCTTTTGATATGATCATACGGCTTTCTTTAACCTATTAATGTAGTAAATTACATTGATAGATTTTCTAATGTTAAAAAATAGCTGCATCCCTTGAATGTTTAGTTGCATCCACCTGGTAAACTGGGATTATTGTATGTGTGGTGTGAGTTTCAACTGGTTTTAGGGGCCTTTCAGATTTTTTATCTTCTTGAAATTTTTGAAGTTATATCTTCTTGAAATTTTTGAAGTTAGGTTTTTCTAAAAATGTATCTTTTTGCCATTATATTCAAAATATTTTTTATTTTCTTTAAAAGCCTTGTTTTATCTGTAGTTATGTCCTCTTTATCATTCCTGGAATTGCTTATGTGTATTCTTTTTCTCCTCTTGATTGCATTTCCAGAAGTGTACCAATTTTACTAGTCATTTAAAAGAACTGACTTTTAAGTCTTTTATAAAACCAACTTTATTGAAGTATGCTTTACATAAATAAAATTCATCCTTTTAAAGTGTCCAAAGAGTTTGACAAATGTAATACCTGTTTGACCACCACCATCATTGTGTGTGTGTAGTTTCTTCCTTCTCTTTGCCCCCTCAATTTTTATGACTTTTTAAAATACCCAATTCTTAGTTTCATTGTTTTCTTCTATTGTTTATTTTCTATTTCATCTATTTCTGCTCTAACCTTTATTATTTCCTTCCTTCTGCTAACTTTGGATTTAATTCATTCTTTTCTCCTTCCTTAAAGTGTAAAATTAGGTTATTGCTTTGAGATCTTTCTTCTTTTTTAATGTGGGCATCTACTACCATTGACTTTCTGACACTGCTTTTGTGTTTTATGGTTTTGTTTTCATTTGTCTCAAGATTTTTTTATACTTTTTCTTGTCATTTGTTCTTTGATATATTGGTTGTTCAAGAGCTTGGTATTTAATTGCCACTTATGTGTGAATTATCCAGTTTTCCTTTTGCTTTCGATTTCTAGTTTCATTTCCTCATAGTTGGGAAAGATACTTAGTGTGATTTCAGACTTCTTAAATGTGTTAAGACTCGTTTTGTGACCTAATGTGTGATCCATCCTGGAGAAATGTTCCATGTGCACTTGGAAAGGGAATTTGAATCTCTGAGTTTATCCTTTTTTTTTTTTTTTTCCTTTTACCACTTTGCCCTGCAGATAGGAACAACAAGCCAACCTTATTATATTCATTGGTGTTTTGAGCTAATCTTGCCCCATCAACCCCG